TCAAGTATCAATAAAACGAAGGACCTTGCGGTTAGGTTATATGTGGAGACGGGTTACGAAACGAAAGGAAGGTAAAGATAATAGTCGGCCGGAGTGCACTAACCTTAATTTTTGTCTGCTGGTCTTCTGCAGCTTGCGGGTTCTCTTACTTGATGTCCGAGCAAGGTATCGGGTGGCCGGTGATTACTGAACTTTAACTCTAATCTGTTTTTAATAGCACACATGATGCACTTCACAAAAATGTCGTCCCACTCACGCTTACTGCATTACCACTGCGTGAGAACGCATTTTTTTCAAAACAGAGAAAAAAAAAATATAATTTGTTGTAACTGGCTAATGAAGAAATGTTTTATATTCTAAATTTGTATTTAAATTTATAGTTCTTTTATATTACATTCTTGTTTTTGATAGTTCAATTCATTCTTTCTGTTGTCAATATGTTACTTCTCTATTATTAATATATTTTCTCCGTTTTACAAAGTCTTTTTCTTATTACTACAACACGTTATCAGCACGAGCTTAACACATTATAGGTTTTTAATTAAATTCGTGGAAGAAGACGGTTTATTGTGAATATTTTTTTTGTGAATAAGAAAAAATATTTTCTGTCAAAAATGTCACACGAAGAAAACGGAGAAAAATTTACATAGTAAGTCGAATTCATCATCTATTCCGACCTTCTGCTTACTAGTAGAGAAGGTTATTATTCATGGGAGTTTAAAATACCGAATTACTAGGATCTATGGTCAATATGCGGTTACGCTAAAAGCGATCAGACGGCCACATCAGTTATGGCATAGAATGATTAAGGTAACTAGACAAAGATATACCTAGCAGTAGATTGTGGAGCGATGGTCCACGTAGAATATGCCCAGACAACGGCCGAAGCATGGACATCGTTGATCATTATATAATGCATTTGAAGATGAATGAAGGGGAATGGGAGGTACATAGATTGTAATTAGATCGAAGATTATATAGATTAAGTCTATTAGATTATGAAAATAGAGGAATATATATATATATATATATATATATATATATATATATATAAATGGCTTTATGTGGACTTTACCAAACTTAGCTGATATTGACAATGTTTTATAATTAATTATTAATAAGATTAATACGTTGCTGTCATATCCTACGAAATCACACTTTTTGGAATCTGTCTTATGGATAAGGTATTTTATTATTAAAAGGGAATTAATTGATGGTATCCTGGAGATGACTGTCGTCCCGACCTTTGACGGTAAGAAGATGAAGAATTGTGACTAGTGCTTGAGGATTTTTTGGGAACTAATTGTGGTTGTTCCTGATGGCGCAATATATGATTGTGCTGGTATTATCCACATCCCTGTGGGTATTAATTGTGGGTGTACCTGATGGTGTAACATATGGTTGTGCTGGTATTGAGACTTCGTAGGAATATATGACAGCTAACGGAATCTTTAATAATTTTGTCAATATCAGCTAAGTTTTGTAAAGTCCACATAAAGCCTAATAATATATTCCTCTACATTTTTTAAAATGAATCTTCGCTCTAATGCCAATGTAAATACGTCATATTCCTCTTCATCCATCTTCAAAGGCATCATGTAATGGTCAACGATGTCCATTTTACGTGGACTACTGCTTCACCGACTACCGTGAGGCATATCTTTGCAGGCGTCTTCCTATTATTCCATGCCTTGAACAATCCGCACGGTAAACACATATTGGTGACCATAGATCTTAGTAATTAGGTATTTTAAACATCCACCAAGGATACCCTTCTCTTCTAGATCTTATCTGTGCTACTAATAGACAGAACAGAGACAGAACGACGGAATTGATGAGGAATTCGACTTACTTTTTCTCCGCTTCCTTCATGTGACATTTTTGACAGAAATAAAATTCCTTATTAATACAAAAAAATCACAGATTAAAATCTTTTTCTTGTTCGGATTTCCTATAATGTATTGTGCTTGTTGAAATTCGTGCTGATAACGTGTTGTAGTAATAAGAAAGAAGACTAGGTAAACGGAGAAAATATATTAATAATTGACAACAGAAAGAAATGAATTGAAGTATCAAAAACAAGAATGTAATATAAAAAAACTATAAATTCAAATAAAAAATTTAGAATATAAAATACATATCTGATAAGCCAGTTACAACACTCCCCCTTAGACCACATAGATACATATATTAAAAGAATAAAAGAAAATTATATATTATACATCAGAAAAATATAGTACTGTTTTTTTTAAGATGCTATATTTTGTATAGGCAAATATTATATATTTTCTGATGTTATTTCTTTTGATAATTTTGAATTTTTTTTGGTGATGTTATATATAATATATTTTTTTTGTTATATGTAATAAAATTTTACTTTATAGACAAGATGTGTAGTAGTAGTAAATAAAATTTCATTTTTAGAATATTTCAAAAGCAGTGATATACCTCCTGATGTGTTTTAAGAAACGCATGGTAGGTATAGGATTGGCAAAATATTTATTTTTGTAATTCCTTTTTTTTATAGCTTTTTGACCATTTCTCATTAAGGGGGAGTGTTGTAACTGGCTAATGAAGAAATGTTTTATATTCTAAATTTGTATTTAAATTTATAGTTCTTTTATATTACATTCTTGTTTTTGATAGTTCAATTCATTCTTTCTGTTGTCAATGTGTTAGTTCTCTATTATTAATATGTTTTCTCCGTTTTACAAAGTCTTTTTTCTTATTACTACAACATATATTAATAGCCCCAGTTTTGTCTGGGCCTTTATGTACTGTTTTATGTAAAGCTGACGTGATCAAGATGGCTCTAATTTATTAGATTTTTTTTTTATTCAATTGTTGCTGAAAATTTTTGTTTTTATTGAATCAATTTCGAACGCTAAACACTAGTAGATATTGCTTAAAATACTTACTATTATATCCACTTTGCATTATTAATTAATACAGGTTTAATGGAAGATTTACAGGAAATTGTAGCAACTAATGCATTATAGACACTATGCAGAAGACATCCAAGTAACGTTTAAAACATTTTTCATTAAACAGAAACAAAATATAAGAAAAGTTATTATTTATTTATAAATTTATATAAGCACCTGTAATATTACATAGGATTGTCAATTGTGGTAGTAGGTAATGAAGATTTAATTCCATTTAATTGGATGTATAGTTATAATCATGTTACGTAGATCAAGCTGTGGGTAATTATAGCTCATAAGTCTTTTTACCTAGTTCATTAATTTTATATTTAAATTTTGAATCACCGACGAGATTTTGCCACCGTTGCCACTAGTAAACCAAAGATAACACTGAACATGGCTTCTCCGTTCACCATGACTTTAGCAATTGATAATGCCACTACTACTATCCCATCCAATATTATGTTCGTGATTTGATATTATAATACTATCTATACCTATTATTTGCCCTATCCGTAACACGTAATGCGCACCATTAATATGTCTATTTACGTATAGTATTATGTACAAGTACGTGATACAAAAGTCTTAAAAATTACTTATTATTACATTTCTTCACGGCCTATTGACTCCATTATGCCTACTTAACATTATTTAATATACTATTAACTAGGATAACAAAACATTTCAAAGAAGTAAAAGAGAGGAAAACTCGAACTAAAACCCCATATAGACGTTATATTATATTAGTACAGTAATGTACACGTCTCATGATATAGAAAACTGCTGTAAGCATTGTGTGCAACCGCTAGGTCTAATTGCTCAAAGCATTATACCTAGCGGTTATTATGTAAAAAGCAGATGATAAAAAACTACGAACGTTAAATACATACTAAGTATTACATGTATATAATAGCGTAACTTGAAACGTATCATCGTTTATTTCTAACTATGCTATTATTATTTTTTTTAATTAGATATAAAGTAATCATGTCGTAAAGTAGCTAATAAGTCCATTATGTCAGGGTAATAACATGAACGAGGTGTCAATTGAAACTTGTTTTCAAGGTGTAATATTTTAATTCAATGAACTAAGTTTACACCGCTTTCTTTTAGAGTAGAGTTCTGTAGTTTATATAATTGAAAAAAAAACTGGTTCGATTGATGAAATATTTGTACGTACTCAAGTGTTAAGAAAACTAAAAAAGTAATATATATTCATGACTGTTGTGACCTGATTAAAAAGAAAATCGTTTACACATCTTTATTATTAAGCCGAAAATAGTAGAATTCTTCTAACATTATTTGTTTAATAATACCTTAATAACGATAAATTGTAAATCTTTTTGTACCAGTAATATTGTATTACTATTTCTTAGGAACAACCAAATATGGTTCTTATTTAATTTACTTTATCTAATTAGAGATTTCATGAGGTTATGTTATGTACTTTAATTTGTAGTCTTCTACCCACGAGAAACACAGTAGGAGAGGCCACCTGGCGAGAGTCACCACCGCCGTGATCGCTATAGATTGCACAAGTTACTCATTGGCTGAAGAACAGAGAGCAGGATAGTAGGAGAGTAGGAGTTGTCAGCTGGTCTAGCAGTACTCATTCGACCAACCTCCGAGGCAGGCAGGTCTTCTTTTCTCTTTTTTTCCAATTATAGTACGTCACTACATAGTATAAAACTAGTCGCTGTCGCTGTCTGTCCATATGTATGCTTAAATCTTTAAAACTACGCAACGGATTTTGAAGCAGTTTTTTATTAATAGATAAAGAGGAGAGGGATGTCGTAAATAAACACTTTTTTGCGCTTACATTGCAAACGCTGGCTGAACCCCACGAGATTGAGACAGCACTAGAGAATGAAATTTTATAAATAAAAAAAAAAAGAATGTAAATAACTTTTCTCAAATATTTTACTTATATAATAAATCTTAGTGCATTAACGAACACTGATATATAAGTAACATTCTAGACCAGGTATAGAGTGTGTGATTGCGTAGGTATTGAGTCAATTAGAATCCTGAATTTGATTCCAGTTTCAACAACATTAAAAATGTGTTATTTATTTATTTATTTCGTGTGTAAATCAAAGCAAATAATGAATATGATCCTCGCAGTACCTGTAATATAAAATGAATTTATATTTTATTTTTATTTATTTATGTAACTGTAGTAGCAAACAGCAAACGCCGTCTGCTCATTTGCTATAAAGTCGCAATGGGCATCTACATATATATGCATATTAACAGAGCCAACTGACATCACGTCATCATGTGATGCATGTTATCAGTATATCCCTCATACACTGCCATTTCTGATATATGCCATGCCTATATTTTCAGGCTGTATTTTGGTTTAAAGAGGGGGCAGCTACGTTACTGTTCACAGTATGTAAAAAAATGTTTACCTGTATGAAAGTTGCGTACGTAAGCTCTATCATTTTAAATGCTTTCATAACTGGAGGGCATTGAGCCTGAGTACAAGCATGCAATACCAATTGGCGCAGGTTACGATGTGGTGGTGGTAGGATTGGACACAGGTGCCAGCCGCAGTAGAATATTGCATTTGATAATTGCGATGCCTAAAAGACAGGTAATAAAATTTATATACATATTTACTAACTGAGCCCCCGACTTAAACTGCAAAAAAACAAACACTGGATTTTAAGTGCACCTTACCACAATATATTAGCGAAAACTACAAACTAACGACAAACACGCAAGAATCTAACAATATTTTTATTTAAGTTTCCTAATAATAAGTAATCCATAAATTATAGATAAAACTCCATCAAGGTTTTCTCATTTATATTAAATGTACAGATAATACATTTTTATTAAATGTATAGAATTTGTATAATATGTATAGTATAACATGTATTTATCCAAACTGATTCTTTGAAATTTTTAGCTTACGTCCTTCTTTCTGCTTTAAGGACGGCAATATTTAATTTTACTTTTTTTAATTTGACACAAAAATTTTATCAGTTAATTAATTAACAGATGGCATCGTGTAAGATTCATTTATAGCTGTCGTTTGACCAGAATGTACACGTGTATGAAGTTGCAGCCACCACTAATTATACAAAGAGTCTATTTTCTTTTAAATACAATAAAATAGGTTACGAGTATCAAAAGCAATATAAAATACTAGCTGTACCTGTAAATTGTGACCTTGATCAAATAACATAAAATAGTTTTAATTAGACTATAGCCGAAACAAGTTTCATCGTTCTACTAAAAAACCGACCGTCCTTTCATACAACTTTTTATATCTGCTTTCAACCCCTAACAATCCTTTTTCGACCTAAAAAGTAGTCTGTATGTCCTTTCTCAGAGACCAAATTTAATTTAAATTAGTTCAGTAGTTTTGGCGTGAAATCGCGACAGTCAGGCGAGTTATTTTCGCATTTATAATATTGTAGTAATAAGAATTTGTATGTATATCTGAATGTCCTCAGGTACATAGCACACTTATTTATAACATTTCAGATAAAACGATTTGCCCTTCTTCTTCCGAGTACGTTCCTTCGCCAATTTTTGTCAATAAATAAAAAAATTCATGTGCATTTATGTTTCCTGCTGTCCGCGCTCTCATGTTCACTGTTCTGTTAAGTGCATCTGTGTGATGTGTCGGCAAAGGACTGAGGTCTTTTAAGCATGATTTTATTTCGTTGGCCTTTCACCGTTCGCCGTGGTACTACTATCAATGTTTGTTTAAAATCCCCACGAAACAGGATCCGTTACGCCGCCCATAGTTTGGACATTTTGCGGATATCTCTGAGGGTTCTGTGAAACGACTCTACTACTTTTCGGTATGCCATATATACACTATGGCATATTTCTATGTACAGAAGTTCGACCTCTACAGTTTTATCATATGTCATGTCATGAGGTCACTCATATATGTTTTATTGGCTCACAAACCTGATAAGTAATTTCACCGGCGTTGCATAAAAATAGCCCCAATAAAATGATTACAGCTGCAAAAAACAATGCAAGTTTCGTAACATTAATTATTGTGATCTGCTTAGAAAGCTGAAACAAAATGTTTTTATTGTACTTTTTTTTATATAATAATGGTTTTATTATATTTTTATAATTAAATTAAATAAGAAAAACTCACGGCAATCTGTAGCAAAATAAACACAGCGGAACCAGTACTTAGCATTAGTTGTGAAGCTAATACCATTCCAAATGCTGCATGTACATCTTGGACTAGCCTGGCGAATAAATTAAATAAAAATAATAATCGGATTTTAAGTACTATGATTTAATAGTTCATATTTATTTATTTATTAAAACACAAATATGGCGAACTTAACTCCTTAAGGTATTTTCTCGCAGTCTACCATTGGGGAAACACAGATTTATGTGGGCAGTGCATTAAAAAATATATATATATATAATTTAAAATAACAATGTAAAAGAACTATGAAAGAACAATGTAAGAAAATATGATTAACACATATACACAATATTTATAAATATAACTACATACTAATACATATTCATATTAATACATACAATTAAATATATATACAAATCAACAGTGAATGTTTAATTCAGTGTAGGTAGAAATAATAATTTCAAACTTTGAATTTAGAAATATCACCTATGTATAGAGCATGAAAGAAATTAATATTACTAAACAGGCTTTATAGCTTAAATATTATATTACACTATATGACTAATATATACTCTGTCTGCACACAAAAATTGTAAAATTTTAATTATACTTAGGAGATATATCAAAAACACACTAACTTTAAAAGCTGATTATGCATTATAATTCCTTCTAAAAATCCGTTAGTTAAATTCTCTGCTGCTTTATATAAATTCCCGCTATTACTCGTTTTATCAAATTTATCCCATAATTTCTCAAAATAGCCTCGCAATGTAATAAACTTATATTTTAACATTATAAGATTAGTCATAGTATAAGAGTCCACTGATATGACCATCGTTAACATCATCATTATTACTACTAACGTAAGAAAAAATCCAAAAACATTAGCAGTTAGAGAAGTATCGTAATAAGATGGGTAGTAGGTAGTAACTGTAGAGAAATTTGAACCTGTAACCAAAATTAAATATTTCTGTAAAGTTTCATTAAATATAGGTGTGACACTTTGTCAGTTAAGGTAGGTAAAGGATATAATATACAAAGTATAGTAAGAGACTGCTAGGTACTTTTTTTATGCGGAATACGTTGACGGTGTACCAGTAAAAAGGCATGAAGTTAGGATTGTTGGGCCATCGGTAGCGGATCTGAATCTGAGCCTTAAATAATATCTATACAGATATTTAGTGCTATTACTCAACTGTCTAAGTTTAGCGCGGTTTAGAAACCTGATACAACGCCATCCACAAATCCTTTGGTGCAAACTGTAACACATGCTTTGCTATGGCAGTGAAGTTTACACAAAAAAATATATGACTCTGATATATTCTATTTTACGTTTTATATTTTGCTAATAAGAATTAATATCTACTATATTTTTACTAAATTTTTCTTACTTCAAATATTACTTATTTTCATACAACAGTTAATATTTCAATATTTTATTTTATTTAATGCACAAATACACAAATATAGATGCATATGGCGGACTTAACATCTTAAGGTATTTTCTCCCAGTCAACCATTGGGCAAACAAATTTAAGTGGGCAGTGCATTTAAAAAAATTTATAGATACAATTTAAAATAGCAATGTAAAAAAACTATGATTCAGATTTAAACGAGTCCATAATTATATATAATAGGTACATAAAATTATCAGTTTATCTTCTTTCAGATTTGTACTATTGTTTCTACCCCTATATTCCGTTGGCGAAAGGATATACAAAAATGACGAAATACGTGTTCTTGGTTTTTTTCCGAGAAGCTTGAACATTAGAGTTCATTCTTCTTACTTTGTATTTGACGTATTTCCATATAACAGATAATTCCATATTTCATGTATCTAACCCTGATTCTTTAAACAGTGCGTTAATAAATTAGTCAGGACAAAGGATATATTATAGGCCTGGGATAATCTGTTTGAGTATGTTATAGTTAGTGCGATGCAGGTGCTAACTATATATGTATATAACCAATTTACAAACCTTCAAATGATTTCTTAATAGCTTCAATAATAAAGCAAGCCAACGATACGAATACAATAAGTACATATACCGTCACATTTATCTTCACCGTCCTATACATATTTTCCATGACAAGCGGTTTTTCATATTTCTTACAATGTTCAATCATATTTTTATTTATATTTCTAATTATCTCTTTATTCGAGATTACTGTAAATATTTTCATCATCACAATAACATGAGTAACAGCGAGCGTAAATGCATCACCGCCTTCTTTTTCTGGGAAGTCACCGAAAAATACGGCAAGAATCTCCAATATTGTCAGCATAAGATACAGTGCTATCAAAATAAATGTATATAGTCTGTAAGGCCACCTCCTGTCGTCACCTAATTTTTCGCCCTCAACGAACCAAAAATTACCTGGACCCACTGAATATATACCTTTACAATATGTACTTATAATATCATAATTTCTTCCCATATTTATTATATACAAATCTCCCAAACTTCAGTTATCTGCAAAGAGTGTATTAATTAAAATATTAAAAATATGAAATAGGAACTTTATACCTTGTAAATACTTGAGTGAAGTCTATAAGTAAATTTTCTATTCTACCTGAATACTTTCGTGTTCAAAAGTATTCAGATTAATAGAAATTAAGGAGAGTAAGGTTTTTCGTACTTAGTTGTATTTATACCCTATAATATTCCGCTCACAAAACAGACCCGTGCAAACAAGTGTCGCGATACAGAATAAGTGATTACCTAACCAATTGTTCTAACGAAAAATGAAGCAATTATATAATTTTCTAAATTCTTTAAAAGTATTGCGTTGTTAAAAGTACATAACGGGTCTATTTATTTAATTTCGCTCTAAATACTTTACTACACACGAAGTTACTTTACAAGTTCCATAGGTTATACAGTGTTCAGTACACAATTATAAAAAAAAGCATTATAAATAAATTCTTATTTTATTTTCCAATACACCATATGATAAAAAAGTTACCGTTAAGGTTTTTGTATCACTAGTACATAATATGTAAATAATATATGGATGGTACGCATTGCGTGTTACGAATAGGGCGATAAATATGTACATGAATATATTTGTACATATATAAGTCAAGGACTTGTAAATCCTGGTACGTCTACAACGTAGGTTCTATATAAATATTCTTATTTTTATTGATATATGTAAGTTTACAATAATAGTAATATAAATTTATCTCGACTTTTATCCCGAATGAGTATTTAGAGAGATTGTCGATTTACGAAATATACAGAAAAATTTCAAGAAAATCCGCCTATCCACCGTAACTATAAAATATAAAATAGATACGATATACCACGTAAATACTTGAGTAAAGTCTGTAGGTAGATTTTCTATTATAACTGTATACTTTTGAATATAGAAATTAAGAAGAGTGCGATTTTCGTAGTGAGTAGTAAACCTGTGTAAACAACTGGCGCGATACAAAATATGCTGCGCGCTGGAAAATAATATTGTAGGTAAAGAAGGCAAACTACATCTACGAGTACTTAATATACTACTCGTAGTATTATTAGTCTAGTTAGAGATTGCTCCAGGCATGATATAGAAAAAGTTGAAATTTGAAATATGCTAGTATATATTGTTGTTATATATATGAGCATGAATATACAATATTTTTTTTTTATATTTATGTTACAGATATAAAAAGTCATCTTTATTCTTTATATTATTATTGCAGTAGGTATATACATAGGTATAACCTGTGACTGGTCAGAGTTTAGAATAGAGATTAAATCGAAGCCCACTCTAAAGTGCCAATTAAGTTTGCTAAGTTCAACTTATCTTAAGCATCCCTAAAACTATACAATTCCATTAACATTTCATTTCATATTGGTAATACTATGTAATATTATATTATCTGTGGTAATACTAAAATGGTGACGAAGCATAAAAGTTTAATAATTACTTAAATGGCTTAATAACGCCTGTTACGTTACTAACGTATTGTAAGTAATATACTTATTTATTATGAAACATTTTTATTATTTTTGCGTATAATGAGCAATGCGTAAAATTCCTTATTACTCTATTAATTTGTGGGGACTTATAAAAGATCTGCGTCTTCACTTTCATGTAATCACAATCTGAATAATATAATATCTTGGTTGGATTCATAGTGATTATATTAATCAAAATACACTTTTTAGGTTATTAATCTTAAGGTAATGTAAAATAGACTTATGTTTAAACGTAACATATACTTGTCACGTTTAACAAACATCCTCATAATATAGACTGAGCTGTCTATAAGACCACGATATGTTTATACTTATTGCGTCGTCCTACTACAAGACTCAACTTACACAATTTAATATTATTGTTAATATTTCTATTGTTATTAGTTCTAGGAGGACTGTTTGCCATCAGATGGTCATTATTTTTGTGGCAAACAAAAATAATGACCATCAAGTACCACATGTAGTACAAAAAATAGGAAATGACACAACTTCATGGGGGATTCAATTGACATGGCACAGTTAAAGTCGTGTAAGTAAGCAAGAAAGTAAAGTAAGTAATGTAAGTTAAATTGAGCCAATTAAAATTTAAAATTTTCATTCCTAAAACAAAATATATAAATATATTTGAAGGAAAAATTTGAACCAGCACCCTATGACATTAATATATGAAAATGTCAAATTTCCAAGTTTCCACTTCGGATCTGCTGTTCATTTCAGGTTTCACAATCGAATAACTACAGTAATAAAAATGATGAGGAAACAATATTGTTAAAAATATATATATTTGTGATATTCGAAAATAGGTGAGTCTTCGAGTTCGACAATTACAATGGAAAAATTAAAAGGTACCATTAATTATCGAGATTGGGCATTTCAAATACAGAATATACTCATATTCGAAAATTTATGGCAATACCTTACTGGAAAACCTGATGCTACCAACGATTCTCAAAGTGGAGACGGCGTAAGTAGAGAACATACTCGCAAATAGGAAAAAGTCCTCATATTATTACAAGCGAAATACGCTAAGGATGTACGGGTGGCCTTGAAAAAGGCATATGACGACACCAGTTTACATAGAAGATTGTCATGTCTTCGAACTATGTTCAATCAAACTAGAACAATTCGAAACCGTATGTAAATGAGATTCTGTCGTTAGCTGATCAACTTAGCAGTATGAAGAAACCATTAGATGATGAATTTCTTGCTGCTGTAATACTTCAAAGGTTGCCTTGGGAATATGAGCCTATGATCATGGCTCTTAAGCATTGAAATATCTACAGATATGGTAAAAACGAAACTGCTTCAAGACAATCGATGGAAAGGACAAACAAGTACCGCTGATAACTGTTTGTATACGCGAAACCGTAAGTATAACAAGTTTATTTCCGATAGTTCCTATGGCGAGAAAAAGAAAATGTCAGATACATCGAACAAGCCTAATACCTTGTCAAATGCGAACCAGAAGCTATGGTGCTGGAAGTGTCACTCAAAAGGTCAAGGTAAAGAAAGATTGTTCTTCACGTGATAACGTATCGACTTCTAATTTGGTATTGACTGCACTTAGTACTATAAAAAATATAAAAATATAAAAAAGATAGCTCTTGGGTTATTTATTCTGGAGCCACGGTCCATATGTCAGGATATCGAGAATGATTCGAAAGTATTCAAGAATCGACGACGAAGGTTTGTGTTGCCAATGGCAAGAAGCTGATCATAAGTGGGAAAAGAAACGTACATTTTACAGTTAGTATTAATGGAAAAACTTTAAAACTAAATATTATTAGATATAATGTTTATACCTGATCTTATTGTAAATTTAATATCTGTGTCTGCACTTGTATAAAAGGGATTTAGTTTTGTATTTAATGATAAACAATATAATTTATTGAAAAATGGTAAAATACGATAACATTTAAGAAAACTGGGAGAGTTTTTACACTTAAGGTCACTGTCGGTAGAGCTAATCTGACAAATTCATTAACTTCTAAAGACATGTTGAAATTTGGCATCAAAGATTAGGACTTTTAAACTTTGATAGTTTAACATCACTGAAGAAGGTGGCTAATGACATTGATTTTCAGGTTACAACTAAGAAGGTTGTTTGTGATATATGTCTTACTAAATTTATTTAACTTTGTAAACATTGTCGTACTCCTTTCGTAACTACCCCCAATAAACAGGTAGCCAAGGTACGACTAGACCTCATCTATACTGACGTCTGTGGGCCAATGCCGACTACTTCGGAAGCAAGCGTTGTATACCCACGTTCCTAGACACTACTCACTCACAGTTTTCGTTTACCCGATTGCGAATAAGAGTGATGTGTGCACGTATACCATGAATTTTATTAAATTAGCTGAGAATCAATGTAAAGTTAAGGTTTTAAGGTCAGATAATGGAACCGAATATCTTAATATAGAACCGACAAATTTTCTCAAAAACAAAGGAATCGTCCATCAGCTATCAGTATCATATAGTCCTCAACAAAATAGTGCAGCTGAACGATTGAACCTTACTTTACTGGATAAAGTCAGATGTTTACTGTATAATGCTAAATTAGATAATAAAATGTGGGCAGAAGCTGTAAGTACTGCGGCATTTCTTATTAATATATCACCAAGCTCTAGACTTTCTGGTAAACTACCAGAGGAAGTATGGATTGGGGAGAAAGTTAGTTTGAAGAATCTGCGTATCTTTGGTTGCCAAGCATTTGTACACATAGATGACTGCAAACGTAAAAAGTTAGATCCAAAAAGTAAGGGACTTATATTTGTAGGTTACTATGACAATGTAAAAGGGTACAATATAAAAATCGTGTAACAACAATGTAAAAATCGTCTGTTTAATCCTGAGAACAATAATATATATGCTTCACGTGATGTTGTTTTCAACGAATCTTTATTTCCAGGAAGTGCCTCCAAAAATAAGTCAAATCTAATGTTTGAACCTATTTTTATAACATATCATGGTGATGAGAACATTCTGCCAACTACGCCCTTAGAAGCAGAGTCAGAATATGTATGTATGTACAAAACCTGTAGAGGCGAGGCAAAAATCTGTTACTGCCGAATCACCAAGTTGTACTGTTGAGGCGGAGCATGAACAGATGACTGGTGAATCTTCTACATCAGAGACCACTAGTCATCGTTATAACTTACGTTCTCGTATACCAAAACCTAACTGTAATATGATAGAAATTTGTAATGTGATGAATCCAATAGAGCCACGTACTGTCAATGAAGCTTTAAGTTGTGAAGATAAGGAGCTATGGGAAAAAGCCATGCAAGAAGAAATCTACACGGACTCTTTCATTCTACACGGAGATTGGGAGCTTACAGAAAAACCAATTGACAACAATGTAGTCAAAAATAAATGGATTTTACATTGACTCTGAAGGTAACATCACCCGTTACAAAGCTAGGTTAGTTGCTAAGGGCTTTACTCAAAAATATGGTGAAGATTACA